TATTTTTGTGGCATAATTTTTTGTTGGTTTTTCTTTTATTTTCTGCCGAAAGCCAAGAAAAAATAAGTAAGTTCGAAAGTGCATCGAAATAGTTTTCAATCATCTAGCGTTGTATTCGAAACGAATTACGAAGAAATGGTCGGTGAAGCAATTTTTCAAAGCAAGAAACTTGCAATTTACGTGCTGCTATTTGGTATACATTGTTCTTAACGAGTGAAGTTGTCGGTGCATTCAGAAAAGTTGAACGATTAAGTTCTTTTAGCCGGAAACTTTTGCTCATGTACATCGCCATCGATAAAAACGTATATTCCAATGAAATATGGTTTGGAATGTCATAAATACGGGATACCAGGTTCTCTCTTTCTCTCACTCGAGTGCACAGAAACACAAATACTCAAATTCACACTGGTAGTACATCATCGATAAACGATGTTGTCCGATTCGAGATGACGAAAAAAAACTAGTGTAAAACTTCACTAAATGTACGTTTTTGTCATTTGGTGAAAATAATGCGTGATGTGACTTTGGTGCCAATAATTCATTGGTGTCGTTTATTCGAGTCGAAATAATTAAGTAGCAAAGAGAGAAAGAGACTTAAATTAGATGGAGTCTGGTTGTCGTAAACATCATGATCGTTTAGCCACCAAATACGTACATTGCATTGGCGCACATGGACAATGGACTTTTCTGAATGGTTCAAATGCTGCTTATTTATTCATGAGATAAAAGTGAATATTCGTACTTTTAGTATGTTTTGCATGTTCGTTTTTGTTCATGGCCAAATTATACACAATTTGTCGCACTCTTGCCCAATGCAACGAATTTATCATTTCACTCACAATCCATTGCCCATGTTGAGCACACAAACACGTACGCATATTTTACAATAATGTCGTGAATCACACAAGCTCCAAGTAAATTATGATTAAAATGAATTATTTGATGTTTTAATGTCACTCCTCTTGGCTGCTATTTTCGGTTTCATAGCTGAAATATTTTTTTCGCATTTATTCAGTTGCACAGTTATTTGCATTCATTCAACCTCTGACCTTAAGCACTTTTGGATGGCGAACTGATGCTTGGCCACATATGCAATTAGATGGAAAATACGTGGGAGATAACCACCGAAAAAAAGTGGTGAAATTATGGCGAAAAAAGGGAATTGCAATGCAAATACCAAAAAAATAACTTTGAGGAAAATATTTAAATTCCAACAACGTATGTATTTGCGTTGTTTTTTGCAGTTTCCACAGTGTATGCCGAATCAAATACTACGCTAACGAACGCAAACCCCATATTTTCAACATAAAAAGAGTAAGCGGTAGAACAAATATAAAATAGTAAATAGCATATTTTTTGCTGATAAAATGTAAAATCAACCATATGAATTTCAAACAAAGTAAGCATAATTTCCATAGATTTTCAACGAAAGAAGCAATTCTCTTTAAATAAATACCGCAAAGAATATACCTCGTTATGAGTCCTGCTTAAACACTTTTCAGTTTTTGTTTCCTGCGAAACCTTTTAAATAATACCCTTTAAAAAAGGAAATTCTTGAATTCGATAATTCAGTAATGCTACTACATTGATCCAACAGTCGCATCCACAGGATGATGCAATTTTCCACTTGGAAAAATGCAAACTGTCGGATTTGAACGTAAATATGAAGCACGTGAGAATATGAGCCTCATTTACCATATATGTATAGATTTTCACAATTGACGATCCGTGCCCACAACATTCATAGATATTGCGATGGAATTTATTTTTAAGTTACGATTCGTTCTTGTCACTTCCTTTCAATTAATTCACAAATTATGTTCCTTGAAATCTAAATGCCACGACTGTATTTCGTCGCTTTTTTGTTACTCATGTCAAACGCGTAACGCTTGTCAAACACAATTCGTGATTGTTTTTGTATATATGACTTTGGTTCACTGTAATTACCAGGCAATCACGGAAACCAGCTGTTTTGAGCAATGGTACGCAAATTATAAAAACGCATTGCTTTCGTTTTTGATTTATTCCTCGAATGCATAAATATATATGGATTCAATTACAGACTAGTGATTGACAACATGAAATTGATAAAAAAATGGTAGCTTAAAATGATTGTAAAAATGTGCTTTTACTTCGGTTCATATGTTCGTGCATGAATAATTCTTTGTACAAAATATGATAACGAAATGTATCGATGCGGATCGAATATTAATTTTTCGTATACATTGTTTTTGTATTGTCACCGGTTAAACAATGGTAGTGCATAAAACAACACAAACATTTATCCTGTACCAATACATCCGAATGCTGTGAAAATCGATAAAAAATTTCATGTGATGATTCATTTGTTGTGACACACACATATCGAATCAAAAGTTAAGGGAATCGTGCTCAAGCATCACCACCACCAACAACTAAATACACCAGTTTGCTCGTTACAGATAAAAAAAATCCCACCAAACACAAAACAAAACTACATTTATTCAATGCAATGACAGCATTTTTTGTTTGTGGTTTTCTCTCCCGCTACCGTTTTTTCCCGAAGGTTATGTTGTTGTTGTTCTTCGATGGAATCTGTTGTACAAAAAATAATAATTTATGACAGGATAATACCACTGCTATTAATGTGCGTTTTTTTTGTAAAGAGAGAAAATACTTGACGCATCTTCCTTTCTCCGCATTCAACGATTAAATGATTCGAATGACTTTATTGCATATCTCATTCGTAATGTTTTTTTATCTGCTTGTTCGGAAGACATTTCCGTTCGGATATGCCGTATCGCAAAGATGATTTTAATTAGAATTCCAGCGAAAAGAATATGGCACTATTGCTAAAGATAAAAACATCATCCCTTTTCAACCATGACAGTGTAGAAATTTGTGTGACTCGGTTTTTTTTTCTCTCGTCTTCATAATCGGAGGAATACACTTTTTCGCTATGAACACTCGAATATATACTTGTATCCAAGTCTTTGTTTATGTCTACTCTTCAGACGTTCCTAGTTTTTTTGTCGCTGTCTTTCCCCCTTTTATTTCGATTAGCTTCGTTACACTTGTTTCCGTTTCTTTTTTATATTGATGTTTTTCTCTGGCAAATTTCAAAGTAAAACGTGATTTTATCGTATGGAATGATCTGTGTTTTATAGAAAAGGATTTTTAAATTAGCCCAAATGTAATCCAATATTTGATTGTGAAGAAACAAAAAAAATCGAAAATAATCTTGGTTGTCCGGTGCGTTGGAACCGAATGCTTTCAGTTAATAATCGAAATGAATTCATATTTCCGAATTGTATATTATAACAATAAGGTGGGGATTTCGACAATCTGAAATGCTGATAATACAAAAAAAGGTAGAAAAACATTTTCCCATTATGCACAGTAATGAAAGCAAATATTCAAAAGGACACTCTCAGATTCGAAAAACAGCTCACCAGCAAGAAAAAAAAAACACACTATCACGATTACGGTATGTATTATGTGTGCTCAAGTAAAATGGAACGTCATCACGCAAATTCCTGTTTCCGAGTTCTTGAAACGGTGTTGCACACAACTATTGGCCAACATTTACATTTTCACTGAATGCGTGTGAACGAAAATATGTGTCCATTGGGTAACTGACATTGCTCCCGCTAATCCGCCCGTATCCGTGTCCGCCAGTGTCCGCCGACCTCCGCCTATATCCGCCCATATCCGCCAATATCCGTACGGAGACGGATATATTCTTTCTCCGTATCCGTTTATATCCGCCCGGATATTGGGCGGATACAGAGTAAGTTCATACTCATATCCGTGCATTCTCCGCTCCTGTTTTGATGGACACGGACACATGCTTATCCGTCTCCGTGTATAAAAATATTTCTATCCGTATTGTAACACACTCTCATGTCCGCCCGCCCGTCAGACGGACATGATCAATATCCGTCCGCCCGCCCGTCAGACGGACATGAT